AAACTCGTTATGACACCCTATTAATCAATAAAATACGTTTATTGGTGGGTTTTGTTACAGAGATTTGTTTTTGGGTGGTCTTGTTTGTAGGACCCCTATAATATTCGTATGCCTCATCAGAGGCGGTATGGAACCCTATGCTGTGTAAGTGATATTTATAGAGCAGGGCTGGTAGGAAGGGGTCGGGTGGTGTCAGATTTGATTGGGCATAGGCGTAGAGCTAATAGATACCATGTTTTGTCGACCCTTCTTCTTTTGTATTGAAGTTGTTTCAATGTTTATGAATCTCTGTGGCTTTAGTGGAACGTGTGAAGCAGGTCAGTTCTTCACGCAGGCACACGGTTTTTGAGTTAGTCCAAAAATCGTACTCACTTGATTTTTCACAAGAAACTTTCCTATCCTGTCAGAAACTTTGTGAATATGAGTTTATTCAACTGAGTCAAGGATGGATCCCTGGGTTAACACCTTTGTTATTATATTGTTGAGTCATTTTCTCTGCTTTATTTTTCAAGACTTTATTATATATATTTATGTCTATGACTCTAGCCTTTAATTCGTTGGTTTTGCAAGGAATTACACACCTCAACTTTCGTGACATTAAAATCACTGCTGGAGAATGATTATTATCGATTTGCATATTTCTATACAAGAGTAACGTAAATATACCTTTTTTGTCTTCTAATACTTTATTGAAAATGTTTTTTGCCGTTTGAATGTTACGCTCTGCCATACCAATCAACTGAGCATATGTCGGTGAAGACATGACATAATTAAATTTTGAAACGCTTCGTCTTGTTCATTTTCCCATCTGCAAACTACATCTTTTTTCAGAAGAACTCTCAGTGGCTCTGTGGCTACTGAAAAATTTTTAATAAACTTACATATGTTAGCATTCCAAGTGCTCTTTGTAAGTCTAATTTATTTTCAGGTCTCGGCATATTTTCTATGTCGATAACTGAACATGTAACTGGAGCTGAAACTTACTGTGCGGGAGAAACGATATGAGCGGATCAATATTTCCAGATAGCCAGGTTGCTGAAGCTCTGCGGAACCCAAAAAGAGTCATCAAGACTGGTCTGGGAATGTCATGCGGAACTGAGGAAACTATGATTAACCCTGACAATTTGTGTTCTTTCCGTTAGATAGCTCTTGAGCTATCTCAGAAAAATGTGACATGTTTTCAGCAAGGAGGCGTATCCTGTGCAAACTAGCACATGGCACAAGATTGTTGGAATGGGTATCATAAAGAAGATCAGGGACAAATGAACCCCTTGAGGTTGCAGTGTTTTTCAGAGACTTGGGAGAAACAAACAAATCAGTTGGCTCCCAAGTAGTAGAAAAAGAAGAGCTAAAAATTAACGAGATTTTCTCTTTTAACGTGCGATTCGTTGAATGAAAAATTCTTAATGAAAAATAAACCTCCGAAGCTTAATGATGGAAATTTTGAAGTACAGTTTAATGCAGTTGAACTGGGAGATTCAGAAATGTTTGTTAAAAAAAAAGGGGTTGATTTTTCTGAAAGAATCTCATTCTCTGAAGTGTATGGTGACAGTTAAAACTTACTTTCATTATATAATAAGGGGTTTAAGCAACATTTGCAATACTAGAGTTTGCTACTCCTGCAAGTCTTAGGATGGATTCATACAACCAGTCTCAAGTCGCAAAAGAAATCGTTAAGCAGTTAATCATTATTTTTCAGTTGTAACATTCATGCAAGAGCAAAGATACATACATACTTACCCATAATATCTTTGTGCAGTAGGCGCAAGTTTTTATTAGTAACAAAGGAAAAACATACATTTTCAAGACTTAATTTGTGACATACTTCTCGACACTGGTGCATGAGTCCACCCTTTATTTGTATCATAAAACATATGAACTATTCTTGTTTACACAAAAACGTAAAAATTAATACTCACCTTTCTTTCAGTCAGTAATATTTTCCATACTCCATTAGTTTCAAAATGTCAATTAATATTACTACAAAAATATTCCAATCATTATTCTCTCTCACATTTGAATTCACTGAACAATGGTTATGTGCTCTTAAAATAGATTATGTCCCAAATGTCTCCACAATGAATTGAAAAAATATAATAACCTATTTTTAGCAACAAAGATGCTTCGAAGGGCACAACTATGAGTTGGTGAAGAATTCAAAACACTAACAAAGACATGAACTTTTTCACANTTATCAACTAAACAAACCGCCACTGTTTTATGGTCCAACTTACTTCCCGTAAACAAACAAAGTTATGCTGCCTTCAATATAAGGATGGAAAAGGCCACTCTATTGTCTTTTGTTGCTCTGAGGATATAGCGTTACGATGTTTTACGTGTTGCATATTTCCATCGTAAAAATTTCAGGATTTGATTTGTCACACGGTGCAGTGACGCACTGATCAAGACGTTGTGTATTCCACAGGTAGAATGAATGTAAAAATGACGTCACGACCAGTCCATATTATTATGTATATGCAGCAAATCGTTACTATACAGGTGAAAGCACTCGAATGACCTATAAATAGTCAGATCTCGGAGGAATAAGTCCAGATGATGCGTTTCAAGCGGCCACCTCCAGGGAAGAGTGCCTGCTGAAGAGCTACAATGAGTTTTCCCCTCGTATTGAAGCCTTGATACGAGAGAGAAATCACTTGAGAAGGCTCTATCAACGAACCCTTTTCCCAGGGGACAAAATTGCGGCAAACAGGATGGCCAACCAAGTCAAGCAGGCCATCATTGATCATCGAAACGAAAGGTGGGAAGAGCTTTTGGAATCCTTCGAACCTGGGGATGACGAGCTCTGGCGAGTCACCCACAGGCTCAAGGGGAAGAAGACTGCTCTCTTACCCATTCACGGAGAGCGCGGAGTGTGCTACTCCCCCGCCGACAAAGCGTTAGCCTTTGCTAACACGATGGAACGTCAGTTTCAGCTTAACGTTGACGACGATGACGACATCGACGTATATGAAGCAAAGTTCATTACTTTTAAAATTAACATTTATCATTGTTATGAATTAGTAGTAAATGTAATAAACGTTCCATTTTTGAATTCTTCACCAACTCATAGTTGTGCCCTTCGAAGCATCTTTGTTGCTAAAAATAGGTTATTATATTTTTTCAATTCATTGTGGAGACATTTGGGACATAATCTATTTTAAGAGCACATAACCATTGTTCAGTGAATTCAAATGTGAGAAAGAATAATGATTGGAATATTTTTGTAGTGATATTAATTGACATTTTGAAACTAAGGGAGTATGGAAAATATTACTGACTGAAAGAAAGGGTGAGTATTAATTTTTACGTTTTTGTGTAAACAAGAATCGTTCATATGTTTTATGATACAAATAAAGGGTGGACTCATGTGCTACTCCCCCGCCGACAAAGCGTTAGCCTTTGCTAACACGATGGAACGTCAGTTTCAGCTTAACGCTGACGACATCGACCGCGATATGCTGTTGGAAGACCGGGTTCCCCGAATCCTCAGAGAAGATGACGATGATGACATCCGTCCAGCTTCTGTGGAAGAGCTGAAGGGATACATCAGGGCCGCAAAGGCCAAGAAAGCTCCGGTGGTCGATTCAATAACTAATAGATTGTTGAAGAGGCTCCCGGAAAATTGCGTCGAGAACTTACTGTCATTATAAACAGTTCGTTGGTCCTCAGATACTTCCCCAGAAGGTGGAAGCATGTGATCGTCGTCATGATCCCAAAACAGGGTCAGAACTCGCTATTCCCACAGAACTACCGAGTTGTTCTCCAAAGGCCCAACGAAGAAGTTGAGGACTGAAATGTTCTGCCTGATGAACAATTCGGCTTCAGGAGAGAACACTTCACTGAGTTACAGGCTCTAAGGCTGATCGAAAACACCATCCATGAGCTAAATACAAAGTACACATTGTACTATTAGACATCTCGAAGGCCTTCGACCGTGTATAGTACAGAGGCCTTCTGCGCAAATTAGACGCGTCCGACCTGCCTCGGGGCCTAATCCGGTGGATTGGGTCTTTCCTGAAAGACAGAATATTTCAAGTTAGAGTAGAGGGCTCTCTGTCTGACAACAGAGAGATCCTCGCTAGAGTGCCACAGGGGGCTGTGCTCTCTCCGACGCTGTATTCTCTTTACACCAGTGATCTCCCAAGGTCCGAGCGAGTGAAGGTATCCCTGTACGCCGATGACACGGTTCTTCTCTCGTCTTCCATGGGCCAGGAGCTCGGCGTCGTCTACATGCACCGTGCATTGGACGACCTAATAGACCGTAGGCTCACTTGGAACCCGCGCATCATGTGCATTAAATCAAAGATCGAGGGTCGGATAGCTAGTCTGTACCCTCTGATCAACAAAAGATCCAAATTAAGTTTAAAAAACAAAATTACCATCTACAATACGATGTTCAAGCTTGTCATCTTGTATGCTTCAGGTGTTTGGGGACAAGCGGCTCCGTCCAACATCTCCATCTTGGAGAGATTACAAAACAAGTTAATTAGGATGATTGTGAATGCTCCTTGGTTCATGCGGAATGAAGGCATCCGCAGAGATTTACAGCTGCCTTCCATTCGGCAGTCCATTCATTCGGCGAGTTTTTGAAGGTGCGGAAACTCACAAAAATCCGTTAGTTAGGGAAGCTATAGACTATGCTGTAGACGACCCCTCCCAATATAGAAGGCCCCGACACTCTGGCGAATGAGGCCCTCGTGTTCCTCGTTAACGGAAGAATAGTTTTTCCATCCATCCCACCCCAGCCAGGTAGAAGTACACCGTGAAGGGCGGTACTGATGTCTGAGGACTTCATACCGCCAACATCCCCGCAGTCATGAGCCCATTTGTCCTTCTTCGACAAAAATCAGCTAAAAGGGTAAGGGAGCTGGGCTTCAACCTGATTGAACTGAAGACGTTGGTCAGAATAAGTCCAGTTATCACCCGAAGACGATTGTGGATACTAACAATCGAAACGTCGTGACATAACTTGTTTTGGAATCTTTTAATTTTTTATTTTCATTTGAAAACGAATCTAGCTATTGAACGTCTTAGGTTTTGTTTTTTGAGAAATATTATCTTTTGAATATGTAGTCTAGGATTGTTTCTGGTATGTACATAATTTTCTGAATTATCATTTCATCAGTTAATAGACTCAACAAATTGTTACTCCTCGTGGTTCATGTCATAGTTTCTATATTAATCTATATGATCCATATACACCTGATTATTTGAAAGTGGAATATAAAAAAGTGAATATCAAAAAGCCTTCAAAACTTTCATGGAAATATAAGTTACTGGACGTAAAGTTGTACCTCACCAAATGTCTGATTAATTTATTGTTCAATTAAAATGATACTGAAGACTTGTGTAGAATCATTGGGCTACTTAATAAAGTACGGCTGCTTGCTACATTGTACATTTGAATATGTTGGAAACTTGGTCGTGGTAAGATATTCCTATGTAAATTTAGAAATTTTCTTGGTCCATATGAACAATCGCTAATCAACTTTTTGCAGTGCTCTGGTCCTTCCATGGAGCCCACAATACATTCTGAGGATATTCTGGTCACTGAGCATATTTCACCACTGAAACAAACTATCAGAAAGGGTGACATAGTTATAGCTAAATGTCCCACCAACCCCAAACAATATATCTGCAAGAGAGTTACAGGGCTTCCTGGGGATAAAATAAGAATCGGATTTGCATCATTCAAGACAGTTCCTGGTGGTCATGTGTGGTTGGAAGGAGATAATATAAGTAATTCCTCTGATAGTAGGGTTTATGGACCAGTGCCTCAAGGTCTGATATTGAGTCGAGCAATTTGTAAAGTGTGGCCCCCAAAAGAATTTTCAGTATTGATTTAATCCTTGATTGTGAGTTTTTCATATTGTATATATCTCATTAATCTAGAGAGTTGGGAAGAAATTGATAGTTTTAGGATATTTGTGATTTTATTGAAGTTTCATATCAAAACTCTGAAATTTGTTGTTTATCTTCTGATTCAATAAAACTTTTATAACATACACTCAGTTTTCAATAAAAACGTAGAATGTAACTGCAGAATATAGAGTCCTACATCAGATATATATTACTAGGATTGAGAAAGTACAAAACAAATTTCTGAGGTTAAGTGTATAAGCTTGAACAGCAGAGGATTGACTATGAGCACTATAATCTGTTTAAATCTGTTTTTCCGTTAACCAGTTGTCGCACCCCTACGAACGACAACCTTCAGAAGTCGAAACTTGTGCGAGCTAAGGATTAACGAGGTCTCACCTTTTAACATGTGATTCCTAATATTTTGCTGCTTCTGAATTTATCTATTTTGCATCACTACCGAGTCGAAATTGAATTTAAACTTCTTCATAAAATAAAAAACAGTGGTATGAATTGTCCAGGTGTAACACAATTTTGATATGAATGTGAATTCGAGGAGGACCAGAGTATCGGTATTATGTAAGATTCATTGTCTTAGGACTAGCCATGGTAAACGAATTCATAGTTCAGTAGTTTCTATGACGTTAATATTTTGAAAGACTTATTTCCAGCTGGATGAATTATTCGTGACGTAAACATAAAACGTTGGACTGGGTTATAGCCAATATATAGAAGTTATTGTTTACAAAGTTACCTAATGAAAAACCCCCTCCAGTTAGGGTCAGGAGGAACGATTCACAAAGGAGAAAAAATTGAATACGCCTAATTTTGAGGAAATTTCATAAGTTATGCAATCCATTTATTCAAATTAAATTGGATGACAGTACCTGAAAATATTTCAACATACTTGTTGAGTATCAATGTACGTGGACTGTATTTCCTGTGA